GGGGGGGGGGGGGGACAGTTTGAAGTTGTTGGGTTAAGAAGTCAGGGTTGGAAAGAGGGCAAGGAGGGGTACAAGAAAAGAGAAATATGTGAACTGAAAGAATAAGATCACTTCCATTTGTATGCAACTCCTAAGCTTTAAAAATATCTGTGCCCTAGCTGGTTTGCCTCAGTGGTTAGAGTCAGCCCTCGGACTGAAGGGTATCGGGTTCGATTCCCAGTCAAGAGCCTGGTTTAAGGTCTGTGAGGCAACCAATCGATGTTTCTATCCCACCTCCTCCCCCACCCGCCGGGCAACTACTGTAAAAAAAAAAAAAAAAAAATCAATGGGAAAAATATTCTCGTGTGAGGATTAACAACAAAAAAAAAATTTTGTTAAATTAATCCCTACCCAATATAAGACACAGCTATAAAACGGGAGGCTTCATTACCTGAGGGAGCCTTTCCAGTTGTCTGATCCTGTATTTGTCCTTGTCTCTTAAAAAAAAAAAAAAAAAAAAGATGAAAAACGTATTTAAATCTACTTCGCCATTATTGTTCAATTCTGTCTTGCAAAGAGACTTGCCATCTCACTCCCAAGTCCCTGGGATGTGCACACTAGAATCAGCGGTGCGTTAGGCAGGGAACCCTTTCCACCCCTCAGGCCCCAGGGCCTCAGCTTGCCCTCCCCACTGTTTACGGGCCTCGGAATGGGAATACCCCACAGGCCTCCACTGGTCTGTCTACCTCCGTCCTGCTGGATTTAAACAGTGCACCATAAATCAAAACTTCCAGAAAGTTCTTAGTGAACTCTGCCTGCTGTGTGCAGCACATCAGTCTAAGTTCACCAAGGCTGACCGACATCACTCGTTACCTAGCGCCCCCAGCCCACCTCCATTTCCACATGCCCACTCACATATTTCCTCTAGCTGAGTCAACAAATCATTGTGCCCTGTACATTCTCATCCTACCTTCAAGGCCTCTTACAAAAATGTCCTTCATGAATTTTCCTGATCCGTGTTGCCCTCTCCATCCTGGGGCCAGTGATCTTCCTATGGCCTTCCCAACAAGACTAGATCGTGCCTTGCATGGTACTTGATATCTTCTAAGTGGTAATATTCACATCTCACCTTCCCTGTTAGACTATAAGCTCATACAGGGTAGCATTCATTTATGATTCATCTGTGTGTGGCCCCAAAAGACAAACTATTCTGTATGCTAACTATCCTGTACATAGGGCAGCAATAAACAGGAATGATAAAAAGAGCGGGTATCCACAGCATAAACTTTTTTTAAAAAGCACTTGCTGTTATGTACCCCACAAGAAAATCATTCCTTCGGTCACAATCTTTTTGGCTGTACAATCAACCCCTGAACAAGGGTCTGAGCCGTGCAGGTACTCCTAAACACGGACTTTTTCTCAATAAACACAGTCAGATCTCTGTATCCCTGGGTGTCACAGCTGCAGATTCAACCAACCACGTGCAAGAGGGCCACTTAAGTTGTAGGCAGATTTTTGACAGCAAGAGTAAGGTGTGGGGGGGTTGGTCGGTGCCCCTAACCCCCACTGCTGTTCAAATCAGCAAATACTGCAGACACATCACTGTTGAGGTTTTGGGCATTAATTCTTTTCCCACCGCAAATCAGTGCCGCTCTCACCTCTTTTTGTAGGTTTTTTCATAAGTCGGATGCACCAAATCCTCATCTTCAGGTTCTTCTGGAACATCACAGTTTCTAATCAGAAAAATCACAGTGAAGAACAGGTCAGCAGTGCCTAGTCATACACCTTGAACAGTATTTCCTCCTTTCCAAAACGGACACTCCCAACTATCTGGTACCTGAACTGTGGGTCGGGGTTATTGGAGCAATACCATTTTTCTGGGAGTTGATCTATCCCATCTGGTAACTTTCGCCACTTTAGACAGGAATCACATTGAACCCATGTCTGATCAGGACGTTTCCTATAATAAAAAAAAAAATATATATATCAGCATGGAAACATGGATGCTATTATAGCACATCTCTGAACTTAAAATGTATATATTCTTTCAGTTTATAAAGTACTTCCTTACTTTTATCATTTAAAAAATACACTGATCCTATAAAAAACTGATATAGACTCATTTAACATATGAAGACTTCACCTTAATGCCTCTAACTTTTTAAATGTAGTTTTAAAAAAATGGCCCTGACTGGTTTGGCTCAGTGGATAGAGCATTGGCCTGTGGACTGAAGAGTCCCAGGTTCGATTCCGGTCAAGGGCATGTACCTTGGTTGCGGGCACATCCCCAGTGGGGAGTGTGCAGGAGGAAGCTGATCGATTAGCTTATCTGTATCATTTTCATCATAAAATGCCTCTATTATTTAATTCTATCCCTGAAAATTCATGACATCTATTACTGTGTGCGCCAAGTTAAACCAAAACAATTTTGATTACCTTCAAAAGGTTAAAAATGACAGGCCAATTGAAGGAAAATGACTTAAATGTATTATTTAATAGCATCCTATTAAACTTGCTCCATGATAAAACTCAAACTCAAAATATTTCAAATATCTTGCTCTGAAATTTATAGTTAGTACCTGCAATGTCAAATCTAGTATATTTATTCGCAAAATAAATCACCAGGTACAGAAAATCAGACAAGTTGTATTACTACAGTTTAAGCAATTTCTTATAATTGTATTTCATTTTTATCCTCTATTATAGCACATCTCTGAACTTAAAATGTATATATTCTTTCAGTTTATAAAGTACTTCCTTACTTTTATCATTTAAAAAATACACTGATCCTATAAAAAACTGATATAGACTCATTTAACATATGAAGACTTCACCTTAATGCCTGTAACTTTTTAAATGTAGTTTTAAAAAAATGGCCCTGACTGGTTTGGCTCAGTGGATAGAGCATTGGCCTGTGGCCTGAAGAGTCCCAGGTTCGATTCCGGTCAAGGGCATGTACCTTGGTTGCGGGCACATCCCCAGTGGGGAGTGTGCAGGAGGAAGCTGATAGATGTTTCTCTCTCATCGATGTTTCTCACTCTCTATCCCTTTCCCTTCCTCTCTGTAAAAAGTCAGTAAAATATATTTTTTTAAAAAAATGCATTTACACAGTCATATGATACTTCAAACAGTCCAGAAGTTTGCGAAGAAAATATAAACCAATTTCAGGAGGTGACATTATTGCATGTGTACAGACACACACACAAAATAAATGGGAAATTAATACAGAGTTGTAGCTTTGTTTTTTCATTATACATCTTGAACATCGTCCCATTGGTACACACAATACACAGCAGTACTCATTCACAGCATTATTACTATGTGCCATGTGTTTCTGAGCGTTTGTCAGGCATCTTATCTTTTAACTAGAGGCCTGGTGCACAAAAATTTGTGCACTTGGGAGGGGGGGTGTCCCTCAGCCCGGCCTATGCCCTCTCGCAGTCTGGGATCCCTCGGGGGATGTCCACTTGCCAGCGGGGAACAGGCCTACGCTGCAGTCAGACATCCTTAGCGCTGCTGAGGAGGCGGAGAGGCTCCCGCCACCACCGCTGTGCTGGCAGCCGTCAGCCTGGCTTGTGGCTGAGCAGAGCTCCCGCTGTGGGAGCAGACTGACCACTAAGGGGCAGCTCCTGCATTGAGCATCTTCCCCCTGGTGGTCACAGTGTGCCATAGTGACTAGTCATTCCCAGTCGTTCTGCTGTTAGGGTCAATTTGCATATTACCCTTTTAATATATAGGATTCTTACAATTCTAGGCGAAAATTGAAGCTTATAAGAGGCTAAGTAAGAAATTCAATGTCACTTGGTGACTTAAGCAGCAAAACTAGATTCCAAACTGAAGTCTGGTTTATGAGATGGTAACACAACACATGGGTAAAAACTGTTTCATCCATCTTTTGTGACTACCTATAAATGTATATATTCATTAGTTCACTATTCTAAATGTTTTATTTTTAGAAAGACAGAGAGGGAGAAAGGGTGGGAGGGAAACATGTCATTGTTCCACTTATTTCTGCATTCACTGGTTGCCCCTTGAATGTGCCCTGACTGGGGAGCGAACCCAAAACCTTGTCATACAGGGACAATGCTCTAACCAACTGAGCTTCCCTGCCCAGGGTCTACCATCAAGTCATTTTATGGTATGCTGATCTGAACTGTAGAATTTAGTCCTTACTTTGGGTTAGAGTCAATTGTAAACACTGTACAATCACTGTACCCTCCAATATCACATCTTGATAGTAGAGAGGGTGAACTTTTTTAATGCATACTTACTGTATATCTTCAACAGGCAAATTTAGAGGATATTCTGCATTTTTCTTCACTTTCATTTCATTCCAATAATCATTCAGTTTATCTCCCAGTGCTAGTATTGTAAGCCTGAAAAATAAATGATGAAACCAACTTAAGAAAAAAATAATAATAAAGATTAAATCTTTGTCAAACACAGAGAAAGCACAACCTGGCAATGATCAGGTGAACACTCGTGGGGGGGTGGGTAGGGAGTAGGGACGAAGGACCCCTAAAAGTACAGTTAATAAAAAACACTCAACATAACAGCAATTTTGTAGAAAGGACTGTTTTAAGTTACTAGTGCAGAGCGAGGGTCCTCTAGGAAGGAAGACACAATGTAATACGTTGGGTCCCCTGTTGTGAAAGAATGCGATCAACCAATCATGGGGAGAACCACTGAATTTCAACTCCAACCGTCCAAGCTTCAATTCAAATCAAACTCACACTTTTGGTGTATGAAAGTATGCAATCATTCCCAGGAAGTCTATTTCAAATAGCTTCTGTCCCACAATTAAAGACTTGCACTTCTCCCACAGTAAGATGTCTTTTCTTAATTGAGTTTATTGGCGTGACATTGGTTAATAAAATTACATAGGTTGCAGGTGTACAATTGTATAATACACTGGTTTTCAACCTGTGGGTCATGACTCCCGAAAATACATCCTGCATTTCAGATATTTACATTACAATTCATAACAGTAGAAAAATTACAGTTATGAAGTAGCAACGAAAATAATTGTATGGCTGGGGGTCACCACAACATGAGGAACTGTATTAAAGGGTGGCGGCGTTAGGAAGGTTGAGAACCACTGGTATAATACATCATGTGTTTATTGCACTGTGTGTTCACCACCACAAGCCCCATAGTAAGATGTTAAAAATCAATGGGACCTACTGAAATAAATAAGACTAAAGGCACAATTCTTCCTCGTCTCTTTTTCTCATCACCTCTACTCCTCAGTCCATGAGATTGCACCCATTTCTGCTGAGAATATACCTAGGGGTGGAACTGCAGGGGCATGGGGTGGGCATTTACTTCACAGCCTATTAGTTTTCAAAAATGATCAACCCACAGTTTTAGATCCCGCCGCAATGTACGATGAGAGCTCCAACTACCCTACAACTTGCCAACATTTGCTGTGTTTTCTTCACTGTAAATATTTATCCACTTTTGCCCATTATGATGGAAGCTTTTCACATCTTGTTTAAAAAACCTGCCTAACTAAAGATTATAACAGTATGCTTATTTCCATTTTGGTTTTGCTGTTCTCATTAAGGTCTAATATCCACCTAAGAACTGGCCTTCTCCTTCATTTGAGAGGCAGGAGTTAAAGTTCATTTTATCTGTACAGACAGCCAACTGACCTGGTCTCTTTTGGAAAGATGATCATTCTTACTACACTCAAATGCAACCTTTGCCACAGCAGATGACTCTATGTATGAAAGAGGGGTTGTTTCTTGACTTCTCTACTCCATTTCAGTGGACTATGTACCCTTTCATTAACACCCGCTTTCTTAGCTACTATGGCTTTCTAAGTGTTATTTAGTAGTGTGAGTCTTCCTGCTTTGTTGTTCTTTAATGACTGTCTTAACTGTTTTCAGTCTTCTAATGATCAACTTAAAGTTTAGATTAAGCCTATCAATATATCAACACACACACACACCTGCTGGGTTTTTTGGTTCTTTATAAAACTGAAATTGCATTTAATTATTTTGGTGAAAAACTGACATTTCATAATACCCACTGACCCTATTCTTGAACGTAGTATACCTACTTATTTAGGTCTTAAATTTCACTCCACAAAGTTTTGTGGTTTTCAGTGTGTCGAGGTCTTTGTGTATTTGATTTCCTCTGAAGTACTTGGTTTTATGATGATCTTATTGATTTTTTTTAAAATATCATGTTGTTTACCTGTTCTAGTACACAATGATTTCTGAATACTTCTTACCCAGTAACTTTAGAATACATATCACTTGTTCCTTTATTAATTCCAATTACAGATAATTTTGGACTTTCTACATATTATCATCTGCAGAAAAGTTTTATTTATTCCTTCCCAACCTTTCTAACTTTCATTTCTTTTTCTTGCCTTATTGTACGGGTTATTTCCTCTAGAACAATTGTATATAACTTTATCTCACTCTCACTCGGGGGGGGGGGGGGGTAGCTATTGATTATTCACCACTAGAAATGATGCCTGCTCTTCCTGTAAATACTCTGTACTATTATTTGTAAATAACTACTGTTACTATGCCCTTTCTGTTAATGGTTTTGTAAATGTTCCTTTTTCTAAATCACAAATGGGTGTGGTTTTATCAATTGATTTTTCTGTACCTATGAAAATAGCTATCGGAGTTTTCTTTTTTAGCATCAGTGTGATGGGTAACATTGAATTTTGAATATTAAAAACCACCCATGGCATCTAGCAACACATCCACTTGGGTTAAATGTATCATACTTCTTACATTTCAGCAGATGGGATTTGTTATTATTTTAAGATTTTTATATCTTGACTAGAGGCCCAGTGCACAAAAATTTGTGCACTTGGGGGGGGGGTTCCCCCCCCCTCAGCCCGGCCTGCACCCATTCACAGTCCAGGACCCCTTGGGGGATGTCCACCTGTCGACTTAGGCCCACTCCCTGGGGGGATCAGGTCTAAGCTTGCAGTCAGACATCCTTCTGGCAGCCAGGGAGCTCTCAGGGGATGTCCAACTAAAGGCTTAGGCCCCCAAGGGATCGGGTCTAAACCGTTATTTGGACATTCTTAGTGCTGCTACCGAGGTGGGAAAGGCTCCTGCCACCACCACTGCGCTGGCCAGCCATGAGCCAGCTTCTGGCTGAGTGGCACTCCCCATATGGAAGTGCACTGACCACCAGGGGGCAGCTCCTGCATTGAAAGTCTGCACCCTGGTGGCCAGTGCGCATCATAGCAACCGGTCATTCTGCCATTCAGTCAATGTGTATATCAGCCTTTTATTATTATTATTATATAGGATTATAGAGGATGTCCCTATTTCCCCCCTTTTGCCCCCTCTACCCAGCTCTTGCCCCCAACTTCTCACTGGCCATCGCCATACTGTTGTCTGAGTCCATCGGTTGTGCATATATTTTCTTTGGCTAATCCCTTCTTTAAATTCACTTCTTCAAATTTTTATTTTCAGATAAATGCTTATAACTGCACTTAGAATTAAGATATTTTTTAATTGAACCCTTATAAATTTTAGCACAATTTAATAAGTTATGCTAGAAGCAATTAGGAGATTTTTCATGTAATGCAGATACATTTCAATTAATATTTTATTAATTTTTAATTTTTAAATATTTTAATTTGAAATAATCTCATGCATGTAAAGCTGCAGCTTAATTTTTTTACTTTTAATCTATATGTGTCTTTATATTTAAAGTGGGTTTTGTTTTTGATTCACCCTCATAATCTGTCTTTTAATTGGTGCATTTATGCCACTGACTTTCAGAGTGCTTACTAATAGAGTTACTACCGTATCCGGCAGCTTCTGGGACTTCTGGGGTCGCACACGGGGGCCTGGATGGCGGCTTGTGCTGTCCCGCCCTGCCTGCAGTATGCAAATTAGCCGTCATATTTGTTGGTGGTTAATTTGCATATCATGCTGATTAGCCAATGGGGGCATAGCGAAGGTACGGTCAATTACCATGTTTGTCTACTATTAGGATAAGGAAAGACTGACATCAATTTCTTCTCTTGTAACATATTCATAAGTTCACTAGCAAAGTTATGCAAGTTTATAAAGGACTGGGTGCCCCTTTCCTAAATCTTTGAATTTAATATGTAAAAAGTTTTCTAAAAATTGATTTAATTTCACAGGAATGTGTTCATATCTAAACTGGTGAAATATTATGCTATCCCCTTCATAATGCTTTCTGTGTCTGTAGACCTACAGTATTGTCCTCTATTCCATTTCTGATACTGACAATTACTGTTTTCTCCTTTACTTCCTTAATCCCTTCATCTTACCAGATACTCACAAACTATTAATCTTATCAAAGAACACACTTTGAGCCTTTTTATTATGTCACTATCAATTTATTGTCCCTCGGCTCAAAGCCAGTATTCCCTGCTCAGTTCTATGCCCTAGAGCTCGGGCCTGTGAGCGTGTGCCCTTTGCCAGCCGGAGCCATGGTAGCTGGGCTAGCGGCGAGGGGCCTGCCAGGTGCAGCAGCTTCCAGAGCTCCAGTGCTCACCTGGCTGGGACCAGCAGCCCTGACCTCGCTCTGCCCTGGGCAGGAGACCAGTCCTAGCAGGCCCAGGTTCCAGCAGAGTCAGATCTTCACAAACCAGCTCCAGCCCACCACAGCCCTGGTGACAGCAGGCCCAGGACAGGCCAGCACTGGTCAAGCAGGAGGCTGGTTGCGATGTTTCTCATGACCTCTACAGAGAGATCAGAACCTCTGGCTTCAGGGGGTGGGGGCCTCCTCCTAGTTCCTTGACTGTTTCCTCTTTTTCAACCTAGAGGCTTTCAGCTCCTCTTTATCTTTTACCCCTTTCAGAAACCACCTTCTACTGTTCTAGATGTGGACAAAAAAAAGGGGGCTACATACTAACCTGAAAAGCTCAGGGGAGGCCTGCATGGCAGCCTTATAAAATCAAACACCAAATGTAGCCACACAGGAAGATCTGAAATTAAAAAGTCCCAACTAAAAACTCGTCATGGTGGGTAGTCATGTCCTAGGCCAGTACCTTCCTTGACAAAGGTCGATCTTTACCCTTAATGGAGCCTGTCTATTGTCTTTTTGTAAATAAGATAACATACCTTTGGAATGTCAAGTAATTTCCTATTTTCTGGACCCCTCAGGGCACTACCACTGCACCAGAGCAGAGACCACAGAGCCCTCCTTGTTACTGTTATAGTGTTAACTGTTGACTGCTACCTATCCTGCACCCACAAAGGTAAATGAATCAAGTCCATTCCTTCTACCTGTTATCCATCCCAGACATTCCCCGCCTCCCCCTTAGCTTTCTCCAGTCTCCTCAGAGTGCAATGTACAAAATAAGGTACAAAACTGCCCTTCTCTGGAGCATTTTCTCAATCCTGAGATTTTGCTTCCTGGTAATTGTCCACAGTTGGCTCAAATAAACTTACCAAATTCTCTTTAGGTTTGAACTTGTCTTACGGTGACATAGTTAACAATTCCTTGTATTAAGTTATCCCTGTTCAGATAGCAGGGTTAGCTGTCTCAGGATTGAACTCTGAGTGATATATTTATTTTCTATATTATCTGTGGTTCTTAATTCACTGATTTTGCTGTTACCTTTATAATTTCCTTCCATTTTCTGTTTTATTTTTTTTTCTTTATTTGAGGGGAGGGCCAATGGCATTTGTCTTTGCCACAATATTTACATGACATTTGCATTCTACTCCAGAACATATGCTTATGAGGACAGTTTGTGCTGCTCTACTTTACAACTAATATTAATGGCCACAAATTCTGGGACTCTCAGAAATATTTCAATAGCAAAATGGGAGAATGTATTTCTATTTGTAGGACACAATTTCTAGGATGAAAGACGATGGTTAAATGTGTCTTCTGTGCAAACCTTTCACCTACCCATTTTCTTAATGTCCCACAATGTAAAAACATTCATAGACTAAAAAAATCCTTAGAAAAAGTTATGAAAGCATTTCCAAAATACAATATAAAAATGCAAAAAGTTAAATAGGTAACACACCTGTACTCATTAGTATAGTCGAAATCTTGCTTATTATGAGTTGGCTTTAGGAAATTACATTCTATAATTCCCACTACTCCAACACCCATGTTGTTTGCCTGGAAAAGAAAATGAAATTGACATTTTAAGCATAAGACATGATGCCCAATATAATTACCCTCCATAAAGATTTATAATTTGTACCAAATATTTTCCTATATTTTATCTCAAGAAATTTAGCCTGAAAAACATTGTCAGGTAGGTAATTCACTTTTCTGGGAGTTAATTCCTTACGTATATTAGAGCCTTCCTCCAAAACCATATCCTCTGTTGTCAAGTATTCATTTAGACAAGTGTTATCTCCCCAATTTTATACAAAGGAAAAAAGACCACCTCTGCTGGGATGCAACTGCTTAGACAGTAGAAACCACAACTGAGTCATTTCTATATCCACAGCCTAAGCAAAGGCTCCGGCACTTAATATGCCATGTGTTTATTTAAAGTTGGCATTTTAAAAATTAAAAAGTCATTTATCCAAAGTTACAGATGCAGTTGTTAATGGCAATGAAATGAAAATCTACATCAGTAAAAATTATTTTTTAATTTTTACTCTAACTAAAATACTGAACTCAAAGCACAAGTCATATTCTGGTTATCTATGTGTGATTATCGAGTATATTTTGTTCATGATTGTAGTTTACTTCTTTTTTAATACATTTTTATTGATTTCAGAGAAGGAGGGAGAGAGAGAAACATCAATGATGAAAGAGAATCATTGATTGGCTGCCTCCTGCATAACCCCCCACTGGGGATCAAGCCCGCAACCCGGGCACGTGTCCTGACCAGGAATTGAACCGTGACCTCCTGGTTCATAGGTCAACGCTCAACCACTGAGCAATGCCAGTCGGGAATGATTGTAGTTTACTTCCAAGTTCACTTACAAAGTGAAAGAAAATATAATTTACAAAATGAAAATTTTCATAAATATAATAAGGGTGGTACAAAAGTAGGTTTATAGTTGTTAGTATGAGAAACAGAGTTTATTTTTACATTATTTATGAATTACTTATGACTTATTGTATTATTTTCCAGATGAACTGCACACCTAGTATTGCCCCATCCTGTAGATGAAGCCATATAAATCTAAGCATAATCCTACTCCATGAAGAACCACCAGTGGTCCTACTCTCCCACTTGTAAACCACAGTACCCTTCAATCTGTAGTTCGTTTCACCTTCATTCCAGCCTCATCTTCCTCCCTCCCCCATTACTCTATTTCCCACTTAGCATCTAATGCAGGCACAGCAAATTACTCCCTTAGTGATGGCATCGTCTAAGAACCTTTTTTTCCTTCCTTTGAAGATACTTTCCCTGCTTGGAAAGCTGCTGCCAGACTTCCAACACAGGAGTCAACAGAGACTCATGGCAACCACCACTTTCTCCAAGAAGCCTTCTCTGATTTCCACGTCTGATCATCTCTCTATGCTGAGATCCAGCATGGGAAATCATACCGCTATCTGATACCTACTTAATCATGTTTACTAAATCCACAGAATGCAAATACTAGGTC